GGGGACGGGTTCTATAAACAAACAAACAAACAAACAAGACGGGTAGTAGAACCTCAAGGTTTTCTTTAAAGATGTTTGCAGGTAGAGGGTCAATTGAAGAAGACTTGATCTCAGATGCCTTGATTATCTCCTCTAGTTCTTCTAGAGTAGTTGGAGAGAACTCAGCTAGTTTTTCTCCGCAGTAAGAGGGCGTTTGATCGTCAGACTCAACATGATCAAAGTTATTACGTATTGCCTTTATTTTCTCCTGAAAATATACGTTAAAGTTTTCGACTGTGTCCTTGAGAGACTCCGACGAAGGCAACACAATGCTTTTATCCCGATCAAGAAAGGTGTCCACAAATCTAAAAAGACTCTTAGAAGAATAGGAATGCTTTATGAATTCGACTTTGAAAAACTCATGTTTCTTCCTGTCTGAGAGTTCTGTGCACTGCTCTCTGATTGATTCATAGTGTGTCTTGTCAGTTAAAGATCCGGAGATTTTCCACTTTGTCTCGGCTTTTCTTCTTTGGCTTCTAAGTGCTTTATATTCACCATCGAACCAAGGGGCAGACTTACGTTCTTTGATTTCCTTTGTGAGGAGAGGAGCATGGTTATTCAGCACAGTTAGGCACTTAGAGTTGTATAGGCTGATGCGGCTTTCAAATGACGGCATTTCAGCTTGTGATAGACCCTCAGGATCCATTACAGTAACCAATTCCTCAGCAAGATTATCCGCAAAACAATTTTTGTCAATTTCTTTGACATTTCTGAATGTGATAACTTTTTTCTTGTTGAGATTGCTTGCAACTGTTTTTGTGAGGCTAAAAGTAACCGGGAAATGGTCACAGTTTGGGAACATTTCCGAGGTGTGCGAGTCTACTGTGACACTCTTTGGATTGACTATCTGATGGGAGGAGATTACAACATCCAGAATATGTCCTTTGTTGTGAGTTGGATCTCTCACGTATTGATGCAGTCCATAGCTGGCCAATACTTCAGTCAGTTTGGCTGTGTTTCTTGATTTATGTTCATCCAAATGAATATTAAGATCACCACAGATTAAAAACTTCTTGTATTTCATGAATATGTTCCCAATAAACTCATCCAAATCTTCAAAAAATACATCAGTCAATGACCCTGGTCGGTAAACACAAGCACAGAGGACAGTATCACCCGATGAGTCCCGAAATTTGCCTAAAACTGCTTCAAACGTATCTCCACACTTATCAAACACAGGAGTAAGGTTTAAATCACTTGAATTGTAAATAATTCCAACTCCTCCGCCTCTGCATTTAACAGAGTCTTTCCTGATGTAGTGAATCAAGTTATAGCCGTAAGACTTGATGGTAGCAGTAACATCATTCTTCATGCTGGTGAGCCAAGTCTCAGTGACAAAAAGGACAGAGATTCTTTGGTCGATTATAGATTCCATGATTGGTTGAATCTTATTATTGAGAGATCTCACATTCCAGCAACAGCCAAGAATCTCTGTCGGAGAGGATTTCAGACCACTGCTTACAAGTTTTTTGAACTGTAGTAATTGATAGTTTTGCGGAGATGCTGCTGTTCAGTAACATAAGCTGGACATGTCCTATCAAATGCCGTGTGTGTGTCTCTTTCATCCCGATACTTGCCCTTAGAGCAGTTAATGCAGCATGGGATAAGACTATTAGTTTTCTTTTCTGGACAATCTTCTGACGTATGATTCTTGGAACAATAACCACAAATAGCTTTTTCTGATTCACACTCCGACCTGTAGTGTCCAAAACCTTGGCATTTGTTGCATCGTTTTACATGAAATTGATCATAAACTTTGCAACTAAACGAACTGATGTATAGCCGATCTCCCTGTTGTTCTATGATTTTCCTAATATTGTTACTAACTCGTATAGTAGCTTGATGCTTGCTGCTGTTTTTGATCTGAGGTTTAACTTTTAGTACGGAAAATGTTTCACCCTGGGATTTTAATGCCTTAATGTTGGGGTGAGCTTGAAGGAGCAGGTCTTCTAGATCTTCTTCAGAATAATTATCAGCAAGGTTAGCAACAGAGATTGTGGGCAAACGTTCTGGTGGCTGGTGCGTTTTTATTTCTGGAAGTTGCTGGGATACTTTCTTGACAAGATTTTCCCTGTCAGCCGTTGTCGGACACACAACCACAATTTCCCCTTTCTTGTTGACATACCGTTTGTCAGCATGAATGGCGTTGTCTTTGACGATTTTGTCAACATCTTTGCGATCTTTCTTTCTGGTATTTTGCTGGACATTATTAATACAGAGCGATATGAAGGGGCAACTGGTGCTGGAGATGAAGGAGAAGAAATTTCAGTTATGTCCGGACATGTTTTCATATTCACAACTTTCATAAGTAAACCCTTCATGTCCTCCATAGATTGGGTCAGATTATCTACTCGCCTGTCAATCAGGTCGACTTTACTTTCGGCACTGACTGCGGAGTTCTGTTCAGAGTGTGTCTTGCAGACATTACACACAAACGTAAAAGTCCCAAATCTGGAACTGTTAACACCCTTGGTTGCGTTTCTGTCGGAATATGATTTGAAGAAAGTGCGAGGACAGATTACATCAGTATTAATCCTATCTTTATCAGCATCTCGACAAACAGCATGAAATGACGATTTACACAAAAAGCAGGTAAGAGCAGTGTCATTAGCTTGAGCATCATTACAGGTGTTACAAGTGCCGTCTTTGATGTAGGCAAACTGGTATTGAAGATTGTTACCTTGTCGCTGTTGAGTACTTTCAGAGGATGTGGATGAGTTCAGGAAAGGTGTGAAACGTTGCGGGGATAACATATCTTCGCTAACATTCCCGTCATTCTTTGGCATAACATCCTGTAACGAGATTGAGGACCTGTTACCCTCATCATCAAAACCACCTTCTCCGATCATTGCGCACTTCTTTTACAAAGTGAAACAGTGCAAATCAGCAGAGTCAGTAGAGAATCAAAATTGAGTTCGGGGTCCTCAAATTATTTGTTATATAGTAGTGTTATTTGTTATATAGTAGTGTTGTTATATAGTAGTGTTGTTATATAGTAGTTATATAGTAGTGTTGTTATATAGTAGTGTTGAAAGTATTAAATATTATCAAAAACATTATCCTATTTTAAAGATTTCCCAGTAGAATAAAGATTTATAAAACGCTTCTTTACTTCAAATACCTGGTAGTGGAGGTATTACATAATATTCAAGCAGTTTTATATTTTTATTTGTCTTTTAACAACTTAGTTTAAAAACTAAGTTTAGAGGTAGTTAAAAATAAACAAAACAATGTCTTAATCTCTTTCTAAAACAAAAATAAATCAATTAAATCGTGTAAACGATTTTTGTAAGTTTAAATTTAGTTGATTGAACTATATTTACTAACCCGCGTGCATGTATCCAAGCATAGAGGAGGTGAGTTCAACATCAACAGATAGTTCTCCAATTTGGTGAGCTGATCATAAGGGAGAGTCTCGCCCAGTGTATCATACAACTCCAGTACTAAACTCTGGGCATTTACAAAAGGTTATTAAAGTTACTAAAGTTACTAAAGTCATAAAGGAGAGTCTCGCCCAGTGTATCATACAACTCCAGTACTAAACTCTGGGCATTTACAAAAAGTTACTAAAGTTACTAAAGTTACTAAAGTCATAAGGGAGAGTTTCGCCCAGTGTATCATAAAACTCCAGTACTAAACTATGGGCATTTACAAAAAGTTACTAAAGTTATTAAAGTCATAAGGGAGAGTCTCAGAGTCTCGCCCAGTGTATCATACAACTCCAGTACTAAACTCTGGGCATTTACAAAAAGTAACTAAAGTAACTAAAGTAACTAAAGTAACTAAAGTAACTAAAGTAACTAAAGTAACTAAAGTAACTAAAGTAACTAAAGTAACTAAAGTAACTAAAGTAACTAAAGTAACTAAAGTAACTAAAGTAACTAAAGTAACTAAAGTAACTAAAGTAACTAAAGTAACTAAAGTTACTAAACCTGGGTTGATCTACTGAGGACGTGCTGGGTAGTTATAGGAAAGTCTAGAGTGTACGGCTCGGTAGACCCAGGACGAGGGAAGCCTCTGTAGTCCGTGATAGTTACTATTAATTTGTTGTTTGATAGCATCATGTCTCCTAGCAACGGTACTAATTCGTCTGGAATGTCTCCCTGTTCTACACATCTGCAGTGCACAATGAGGTTGTGTTAGATCGGTTGTGAAACTAGGAAAACAAGCTCCATTACAGTTGAGGTTGTGAAACTAGGAAAACAAGCTCCATTACAGTTGAGGTTGAAGTGAAGAGTCAAGAGGAGAGTTGGAAACAACAAACAGCGAATATGTATTGTTAGGAGATGAAATAGTAACTAAAATAAACCTGATAAAATCAGACTCATCGTAAGATATTCGGTGAGTGGAGAGTTTGGAGTTAGCAGGGACTGTAACGGTGAACCCATCATGGTACAAACTCAGTACCATGCCTGACTCCCAATCATCTGGAACCTTCGTTATGTACACAATCTGCAAGGCATTTTAACGTTATCTAACAGCAACATATTTTGAGCATCTTTCGAGATATGAACCATAATATCGTTAGTACTAATAAATACACAAAACCCTCTCGAAAACCTTAAACAATTTCTATACCAGCAGGGTATATAATACCTTTTCTCTTTCTTCGCAGTCATTATTGTTCAAATATTTCTTAACATCGCCGTCCCTGAAAAGTGAATTATTAATAACATTTTTCTCGAAAAACAGAGCATTTTCAATAGAAGCATTACTTTTTTCAAGCGATTAATCAAATTTGATATACCTTTTTTTTAAACTTACGACAAAATCTTTTTAGTTTTCCTCCGTTTTGGGCAGCTTCTGTCCATTTTGTAAAACCTCGTTCATTCCTGAGTTAGCTATTATAACGCTGTTATAGAGTCACAATACCAACACTAATTTAAGGAAAATATTCTTTACAGTTAATAAAATAATGTAACTATAGTTCTAGATCACAGAGCGAATCATTGATACATACATAATGTAATTACAGATTAAGATTTATAAACTAAAAGGGAAACAATCTGACAATTCCGCAATTGAAAATCAACAATAACTTTATCCCCACTCTGTACCCTCAAATCGTCAACTAACGTGAAACAGTCCACCTTATTGAAGTAATCAGAGTTACCAAATTCTAACAAAGAGTCACCAAAATAGTAACCCAGGGAGAATACAGCATTGGTAACCAGGCCGCGTTGTGTAATTGGTAGGGTAGAAGTAAAGTTATCATCACACTGCTGTAATGATGGTAGTTGTGTGGGAGTTGATAAAGTTGTGTAGTCATATTCCCACAGGTGTATTGGATCGAACATGTCATCTCCACTGAGTTGACCCTGACATTGTCTCACTAGTTCACTGTAACCGGACATGTTGAACCCGTCTATAGTATCAGGAGATAACATCCTGTTAGCCAGCTGACAAGACTCTACTAACGTTATAGATAACACTACTTTACGAGGTACCAGACTACAATGTGAGCTGAGAGACTGTTCTAGTAGTTCCCTCCTGTAGTAATACGACACACAAGTTAAAGAGAAGGGGTGGTAACAACTATCCACTACTATGGTTCCTTCCTTTACTTTTAGTTCACTTGTTGAGAAGGGGTGGTAACAACTATCCACTACTATGGTTCCTTCCTTTACTTTTAGTTCACTTGTTGAGAAGGGGTGGTAACAACTATCCACTACTATGGTTCCTTCCTTTACTTTTAGTTCACTTGTTGTATCTGATACTCGAATAGTTTTAACTTTGCAGGAAAGGTTTTTACTGAGTAGTGCAGGAAGTGTGCTAGGTGGCCCAATATACACAACACTTTTATCATCAGTCTTCAGCAATTCACATACACTACCACAGTAGGCTGCATTTAGGCGGCAACAGTTCATGTAACCTAGGTAACGGTAGCTCAACATCTCTCCCGGATTGTCCTTTTTAGAGCAAACACAGTTGTTAAAGTTACCTGGTCCAGAGTGATCGATTTGAACCTCTAAATCAGTGATATTAACTTGTAGACTTATATCACCTTTATTATAACACATGCAGTAAACAAGGGGCATCCAATGGTCTCTGAACTCCTGAAACTCCAGAAGAGGTTTAGGAGCTGTTGATATAACGTTATCCTCATCAATATCACTCCTCCACCAGACCACTATACCGTTACAAAGTTCCTTATTTGTGATGCTGATATTCCTGGCACCTGTCCAACATTCCACAGATGCTAGGTTAAATTCCCACTGCCACAATTCCACTGGAGCACCTGACTTGAGGTCTGATATCTTGTCAACGTGGACCTCCCAGGGTACGTCAAAAGAAATATTAGTTCTCTGTTGAGATTCCTTACTCGATGGTAACGAGCAGTAACTGTCAAGACTGGCTGAGAACACTGGCTGAGCAAACAATGTTGCTCTGGATGGGATGAAGATACAGTTTCCAGATGCTAGTTGAGAGAGAGCGTGTTTGTAAGTGAGCAAACAACCCTCTCCTATAAGCTCACTGTCATAAACCTCGCTAACAATGAGGTTAAAACTGTTTCTGTAACCGCTATTAAACTTATCTAAATCACATGACGACATAATCTCAACAACAATTTTGCAGGTTTTCTTATACATGTTTTCATTGTCCTTTATAACACCTTTCGCTATGTTAGCCATGGTCTTATTGCTCTCACAGGCCACAATAAAATCAGCACCAGCTTCAGCAGCGTATAAAGCCAGTAAACCAGTCCCTGTCCCGATATCCAACATACACACAGCTTCACCCCTACTGTGGATCTTCTTTATAGCAGTTTGGATTGCTGATCTGTACGCCTTGTGACGGTGAGTATCATTAAGCATTCCTGCATGTCCATTAGTGAGGATCTCGTCAGGATCTACCATTCTAAACAGGGGTAAGGAGCTGTCATTGAGTACTCATCATGTTAAAATGTTTCTTTAAACTTGTAGAATCTTATATATTAATTTGACAGTATTTTTATTTTTCAATATTATAAGTTTAGTCCGTTTATTTGGAAGATTGAATCTTATTTTGATGGTAGGAAGAAGGGAACAAAACAAAGAATAATATTAGCAAAATCATGCTGGTCAAAAAAGGCATCATTTAAACAGAATTTACATCGACAATAAGAGACAAAATTTGAATAACATCCATATCGTAATTCAATGCTGTTAGATATTCTATCAATCATTTTACTATCATTAAATCATATCAAATCTGTCATGACTGCGCACCTGTAAAAATTAAAAACACAAAAACATTAATCATATAATATATTATCATAAAGATTTAAGAGTCCTTTAAACGTTAGTTGAAAATTTCAAACTGTAATGATGGTCGCATCTTCCAGTTCTCCATGTACTTTGGTGGTGGCAGACCATCATTCAGGTACTGCATGATTATCTTTCTTGGAATGATTGGGCTCTCCTGATGTTCCTCATCAATGACCACAGAGTCCACCTCAGGAGTAAGCTGCTGGTTGCTGTACTGGATAGTACAAGAAGCAGTGCCACTTGGAGGGGGCAGTTGGCAGGCACTTACTTCCACAGAGAACTTACCACATGTCATGGGCATCAGGGTAAACTCATGTGACAGAGTAGAGTGAGGTTCAAGGCTCTCAACACTGTGGTCTCTAGTTCCAATAAAGGGAATATCACACATCTTCTTGAAGGCAGATGATCCTTCGTAAAATGCCCTTACAAACAACAGCAGTGAGCCCAGAGACTCATCTGAGACATTTGTCACCATGATGGATAGCGTTATAGGTGTTCCAATGGACACTTTGTGTGTTTTTTCTTCTCCAGGTCTGTCTAGCACGTTGCATGAAATGATCAGTTTCTCTTTTAAGGCATTTGTAAGGTCAGTATACTGAGTGACAGACTCGATAACATTTACTCTTCCTTGCCTATCACCAACTTTCCATGGGATATATTTAAAATCAGGATCCAGTAAGTCAGAGAACTTAACCCTATGATGACATGTTGGGGAGTTATCACAGCGAGTGACCCTGTCTAGAGCAACATCCTTAGCAAACAGTTCACCAGAATCTACAAAATGTGAAATTCCAGCAACGTTTAGTTCCATTCTTTGAGGACACATTGATGCTAAAGAGAGATGCATTTGGCATTTGCTGCTATCAGAGAGGTGCTGTGAAATGGAGTAACCAGCTAGCTGATACAGAAGATTTATTTGAGCTGTAAAAGTTGAATCAAGCTGTCGGAAATACTCTTTCTCCTTATCATAATATCTGAAGCTCAGAGAAAAGTTTTCCTCTACAAACACATTTTCAATTTTGGTCTGTCTAGCACGTCTAACAATAGGTGCATCGTCTCCTTCATCAAACTCTGACGAGTTCTCATAGATGGTACCACGTTGGGTTCTCTCGGGTCTACTGTCAAAACACTCAGCTCTCCTTTCATGGCCTATTTTTGTGTTGATATTAATTTCAATATCAGCAAATGTACCCGGAAGAAGTGGAACTGGAACCTCACCATACTGAAAGACAAGACCGGTCCTGGAACAGTTGTCGATAACATCAATATGCTGGATGGGAAAACTGCTGATGTTAGCTATCCTGCAGGACAGCTTTCTCTCTTCCCCCTCGTACAGAGTTAGTGTAGCTGGAATATCAGACTTCAAAACTAGTAGAGGCATTGGTTTTGATACTGATATAGTTTCTGCACATGTCACTTTAAAGTGAGAGGGAACACCACATAGTTGAAGTTTAATTCCAACCAGTTTTAGTGTACCTGGTTGACGAGGTTTGATTGTCAGAACTATATCAACTGTCTGCTTAGGGTATATTGTAATGGTGCCAGGGTAGCATTCCGCAATACCTCCCTCCACTATGCATCTTATGTCAAACAGTTGCAGAGAGTGCAGAAGTGGATTTTCCAGTTTCAGCAGAACTTCTCCAAATTCGTCACAAACCCAATTAACTAAGTTTTCTTCCTCTTTGCTCTTGCTAGCATTAGGATTGAATATGAATATACTGTTGGTTTGTTTGTTTAATCGAGGTTCCAAAGATTTCCCTAAAGACTTGATCACAATCTTCTTGCAAACAGGTATGTTTGGTGCTTCAATCATGTCTTGACCAAGCCTGGTGTTATTCTTGAAGATAAGGTTTAGAATACGGAGTTGATCGTCATGGTCCAGATGTGAGTAAAAGTTTTGCAACAAGCACATTCCATATTTAACAACACTGTCACTGTTGGCTAATTTGTCACTGGTTGAGATCAGATCATTGAGCACAAGCTTCTGTAGCTGAGGCCAACCATGCGCACTTTGATTACCAGGAACAACACCGTACCTCTCTATGACATTGCATAGTAAAGATGATGAAATTGTGTATGCTCTTGAAAGCATTTTTTCATGAATAGATTCAAGTGCAGCTCTTCGCAAGAAATAACTGTATTTTCTGTGCATCCCCATTTGCTCATACAAAAGAGCAATAGTACAGAAAAATTGCAGCTTCTCAACTGGGGTTAGATCGTCATAACAGTAAAATATTTCTGAATTAAGTATGACACATGCCTCCCTTTTACATTCTAAATCTATCATCAATCTGACAAACTTCAAAGTGCTTTCAAGCATTATCAAGGATGCTTCCCTTATCTTTTCCATGTGATTTATACCGGTCCTGAACAGCCCTTTAAGATTTTCTGTACTCTTCATTTCCGGTTCAGATGAGGCACTGTTCAAAGATTCCTGAGAAGAATGCAGTTTGCCACCTCCCATAGCAGTGGTAGACTCAGCCTCGTCTAATTGTAGCATCCTTGCAATCGCACAACACTGGCCTTCATATGCAGCACCAGTCCACAAGCTGTCCCCGATTGATAGCAAGTTTCTTGCAGCTTCTTCATAGCTCTCATTTGCTTTTTCAGGTTTTCCTATGATCAGAAACATATCTCCCAGATGTTTCTTGTGTCTTGCTTGTATCCTTTTGCGGCCCATTTTACCCTCATCTAGTCCAGATTTGCTTCTTTCGTAAGGACTGTATAACAGCTGAGGGTTATACTTTTCACCTCCCATTTCAATGGTATTTCTGACAACAACAGAATATAAAGCCTGGGTAAATTCACCAATGAGAGCAGTCAATTCCTCACAGTGAACAGAACTTACGTCACCACTATACTGTATCACCATTATGTCTGGCCTGATGCAATCTGGTGGTAGCATAAGAGATTCTTCGCTGAAAATGATACACCTTGAATCAATAACAGTGCTGTCCATTCGCCGTTTTATCTTCTCGTACTGGGGTAAAATTCCAGCCAGGTTTGAGGAAGCATCAGCATGTGTGATGCAGAGTAAACCAATAGGTCTACGATAATATTGTACATCACTCCAATCAGAAAGAAGTGGCTGAGATTGCAGCACAAACTTGGCACTCAGCTGATTACGATTGGGCAAGGGTACTTTGCTCAGTTCAGAAGGTATTGTGCTCAAAAAGTTCTCATCAACAAGACCAACAGGTAAAAGGACAATATGAAGCCTAGAGCTATTATCACATTTTGCGTTGAAATCAATCCGAGATGAAAGAGATTGATTCATCTAGATAAAAGGTTCTTGTTCACAAATTACTGTCCATTAGCGGAAGTTGTCAACTTCTCCACCGACTTCTACATGATCTACTGAAGGATAATGATTAATAAATAATAAATACAGTAAAACCCTGATTTACAAAGTAGTTTGTGGGAAAGGAAACAGCCACAGTAAATTGGGGGCTACTGTAGATCAAGGTTTTGATAGATCTTATATTATGAATGCTAAGCCCTATTTGAGGGAAAGAAAATTGCTGCCTTAAAATTATTTGCAGTAAATCGGGGTTAGAAGTAAATCAGGGTTTGCAGTAAATTGGGGCATGGTAAATCAAAGTTTAACTTTATAATGCAAAAAAACACAAATCAACCTTAAAGAGAGAAGAGTGTTGGCTTTTTAGTGTTTTATTTGTCCTCTAACTGATGAAGTTAGGATTGGGAAACTTAATCCAATTTAATATTGCACTATTAGCTTTGCCCAAGGTGTGCCCCCAGGTGTTATCCAATTGTGCACCAAGTATTTTTAAATTATGTGCTCCTGTGTGCCTATATAATTTCAACTCCAAATATTTTGTTAAATCATGGTGATTCATTTGGTCTTAAAGCTCTTAGGCTTAGTCTTGCATTTAGAAATAATAGGAAATAGATAGTTCCCATGGCAAATTATTTTCCTGATAAGAAATATGATACAAAAAGTAAACCAAATTTCACTGTAGCTACTATAAGTGAGATTCTCAAGGTGCGTTATCTTCCTTGAAAGAAATTCGATACAAAATATCAAGTTTTTAGGATACAAATTAGGTAAAGTTTCTTAGTATTTTTTTGTAGTTCATTTCGAGACCGTATAATTAGTTTAATCCCTCCAAAACCTTGTAAAGTGACCCCACAGAACAAAGATCTGGACAAATAATATGACTACCACAAACTTGCCTCCCAGTACGTCCATAGATTTGACAGTCATAACTGGGGCTTTCAGTATTTATCCTCACTCAATATGACAATAGCTGTTTATATTATCATCAAGAACTCCATGATCATGTATGATTACCACAAGGACTGGAGAAGGATTTCGTGCCTATTCTTTATTATTGTTGCTGCTGTTGATGTGCTTGAAGGACCTTTCTATGAGGATGGATCCTTGGGCTTGTATCATCTGGATGGTGTTGGGTACAATATAATAATTATTCAAACAATATACACATAATATAACAATGACCCTATATAAAATCAACCCTTTAAGAATTCAAAAAATTCCCTTAACAATTAAAAATTGGGTAAACTCTGCTACGCTATTTCCACTTTTTGAACAGGAAGAATCATTAATTGTAAACAAAGTAAAATACAATTTTTTAAGTAAAATACAATTTTTATTTTCCACAGAAGAATCAATACATATTGAATTATAAATATCCGATAATTCCATTAATAATCATTAAAAGTTGCTTTGTCATTTGTAAAATCAAAAACGAAAAGCCCCACGCTGAACGCGCGCGGCATTTTTTCTGCAGCTGCCTAGCTTCAAGCTTGTAGCCGCTAACATCAAAGCCGCCGCGCGCGCCCAGTGCTGGGGTGCATTCTCATTAACAATTAAACTTGGACAAAGATATTTATATACAATTCCTAAATTAAATCAATAATCATGTTAATATGAGTATTCAACACTACTCGACAACAAATATTTGCCGGCCCATCGACGATTCAGTCGCCGAAACAAAAATCAAATGTTTGCTTTTTCGTTTCGGGGACTGTTTGAACTCAGTACTATATCCGACTAATCACACTTTATAATGGTTAAAATACAAAGTAAAAAGTTTTTCCTCAATGGGCCGGCATTCGCAACCGCGAAACGTTTTGAGTACGACAAACGATGACACCACCACCAGCCGTTAATTGATAAGTCCATGGGTGACGGGATAAAGTTAAAGTAAGATGTGTAATTTCATATTGCCTATCACCTATCACCTAAGTTACTTTGCATATACTGCTTCTAGTTACACGATAGCGATCTCAGTTCCCAATAACGTGCGACCCAACAGAGGGTATTGTGGAAGGACACGTACATTTTTCATTAACACGTGCCCTGATTACCCCCTCCGTTGAGCTACTATACGGGGAACGTTGACCGCCAGTCTGTAGTCAGATCGTTAATAAATTATACTTTAAAATTGGTTGCCGGGTGATGGTGTCAGTGAGAGACGTTAAGTTAGGTGAAAATTGGTACAAAAATATAATAATCTAGCAGTTTATCTCAAAGTTAAAATCACTATTTGTTAAAGTATACAAACAGTTCTATTCAAAAGAACAAAGTCCGAGAGCAGAGAGAAGATTTGGAGACTATACACGCATATGTGGGGTTTAAATTTGGTATTAGTTATTTTAGGGTTCGACCGAAAATGTTGGTCGGTTGGTTAATAGGGAGCAGTCACTGTCATTAGAATTATCAGATTAGGAGCAACAATTAGAATCAAATTGGACATATTGTGTATTGTGTATTGTGAAATCAGTGAAACCTAGAATGGCGGTAAAATGCTAACGCGCCTTGTTATGCGCGCTAACATACTAGCTGCTGAAAATAAAGAAGTATTATATGCATGATTGATTGATTGATTGAAATAAATTTTCGTGCACATACAGAATGAATGGTTAATAATTTAATATATATGTAGACCAAGGTCTGTGCACGGGATGCTTCCTGGAAGAATCCAGTTCTTTTAGCGGGGCACCCTACCTAAAGCCAAATTGAGATATAATAATCATATTCCTAAGAGATAATCAGAAATCGAATACCAATCAAATAATATGATATATATGAGTAGTAACCATATTTAATATGCAAAATGCCCCAACCACATAGTGTAAATTTATATAGAATTCAAATTCCATATCATCATTAAACCTCAATACCTAGTCAATATAATAGCCCAAGCAAAATTAAATAACTTCTTATATACAGGGTGGGCCAAAAGTCAGTACCCATACGTTGGCCTTTATAGCTCAGTCACTGAGTGCCCAATTTAAATACTTCCTTCTGGTATGACTTAGTACCACCACTGGTTCGAGGAATTTGTCAACTCGAAAAATATTCGTGTTCATTTTTTTCAAATGGAGGTTCATTTTCACATTTATTTGATAGTTTGGATAGTCGGATCAAGCTAAATGTTATTGAATTGTGTTTGGCCATTCGAATTACGTTTGTCCTGAAAGAATTAGAACTGTAGCTTCTCAGATGACCGAGATATGAAGCATAACGAGTTTATTCATTACGTGTGATCAGGTGATTGGTTTACCTAATCACGTGATAAGGTGACCTCGTTAACTACCCCGTTAAACATTATGGGAATTGTTAAGGGTGCCCAATTAAGGTGTTGTGTCACGGTGTCACATAATCACCCAGTCAATTTTGTTAACGAGATACAGAAAATGCTTGATAACTTCGTCATTTCTAATCCGTTTTGCCTCATGTTTTCAGATCATATGCAACATTTGATAATCTACCGTCTCTGAAAAAATTAGGCGTTCAGCATGTTCAGAGAAAACAATATAGGTGTTTTAATATTGAATGGGCGTGGTCTAAAATATTCGAATTTTCAAATTTTGACGACAGAATCCTCGAACCAGTAAGTACAGTATGCCATCTGCAAAGCAAAAGCTCTCAAATATAACACACGGCGGAGCTATTAAGGCCAACGTATGGGTACTGACTTTTGGCCCACCCTGTACCTTACTGTCATACTACAAATTAATTAAACATTTGAAATCTGTTGACCATAGAATAAATTCTAAGCCTAATGTAAGTGAAATAATTTAGATGCAATAATGAATGCCTAATGTGAGTATCATTTGTCAATGTCCTTGTAAAAACGTCTGTACAAGAGATATGAGTAACTAATATAGAAGAAAAAACAGGAAGATGTCGTCTGTTGTAAAATAAATAAAATATCTAGAATATAAATTAGAATATAAAATAACATTCAGTCAATGTGTCGTCAATAAACTGTACAATTATCAAATGTTAAAACTGGGTGATACAGTCACCAAAAATAAATACTAAGTATGATAAGTTAATAAATTAAATGTGGTCTATAAAACTACCACTAAGTATAATAGGTCAATAAATTAAAAGTGGTTTATAAAACTACCACTGTGGGAACCCCTTCTCCAGTTAAAACATGTCAGTCATGTGCAAAATCAATCAGAATGGTAAGGTGGTAAAAAAGGGAATATCTTTTCGATACATCAATTATATATGCCTCAGATTTAAAAGAATTAGAAGTTAATTAGTTATCGTCGACTATGATTGCAGTGTAAAATTTTTCATATGAATTGTCGACGGTATAATTAGGGTCTGTTGTTATAGATGATAGTAGCTGTTTCTTATACGAATCACTAAAGCTTTTAACATCGGGCAGATTTCGTATTATTCCAACATTTTGCCCCCAAGTATTGAAAGTTTTTATGTGATGTTGATCTATTGACATAAAGGTTGCAGCTTTCGCCGCTCCTACTACCTCCTGATATGTAACTAAATTTGTTCATAAAGTTTGTAGGACAATTGTCATGGATGATTCTAAACATATAATTTGACAGATGGAGTTGTCGTCTAAGATGGAGTGGTAACCATTTCATGTCTCTATAAACATTAAGGCTGCTCTCTGTTTTTGGAACGTTGAGAGCTATTTTGGCTACCTTTTTGTACAGAGTGTCAAGTTCAGCAAGTTTTGTCTTGCCAGCTCTACAATAGATCGTGTCTAAATAATCGAATTGTGGCAACATGAGTGCATTGGCAAACATTTTCCTATATTTAATGGGTAGCAGTGCTTTACTTCTATACATGGCACCAATTCTCTTCATGACCTTCCTAATAATATAATCTACATGGCTTTTGAAGTTTAATTTACTATCTAGAATGAGGCCAAGATATTTTGTCTCTTTGCACTCCTTGATTGTGAAAGTTACCTCATTACAATCAATGGTTATTTCATCATGTTGGTCAACAGAATCAAACAATAGGAATTCAGTCTTCTTTTCATTGAGTGATAATTTATTAACACTGAGCCATTTAAAGATTGTCATAAGTTCTATTTTCATGTTTA